GACCACAAGCAGCCTTCTGTGCCCAGGGTGAAGTTATTAAGGCAGTCAGTCCCCTACAACCTCCTGCACTGCCCCACTGCTTTTTCTGTGCAAGTGCAAGTTTTAGAGCTCACAAATAGCACAGCCTTGCTCCACCCGAGGGCTGGCAGCTCTGGGGGATGCCAGGGCTGTTTAAAAATAAGAGGGAACTCGGCACACACTCAGGCAATGAAGGTTTCTGCCCTAAGCAAGGATCCTGGCACAGGATCCCCAGACAGCCAGGGCCTCCTGGGCTTCAGGGGTCCCACAGCCCTCCACTGGCATTTTCCTTTTTCTAGCAGAGGACCCAGCAGAGTCCCAGGGAGTCACCACCGACTCATCTGTCCATTTGGACGTGTATTCCAGCCCTGCAGCCCACCAGCAGGAACCCTGACTCAGCTCAGGGCCAACATCCTGCAGTGAATGGGATGGACAGCTCTGATCCACCCTCCTTGCTCTGACTACACTGCAAAAGGTATGGCCATGCCCTGCAGAAAAAGCTACTGTAGAAAGAATATTCCCCCTAGGACTGCACTGCCCTGGAGCCTGCTGGGCTCACAGGATGCCAGAACCACTTCCCATGCTCCTCAGAACTGATTTCCTCCCCAAAGTACCAGAGTTGTGCCTGAGAGCCATTCCTTGAAATCCTTAAGCTCACAACCTTCTTGATCTGAGGGTATCAGTGACAGCTGGAAGAAATCTTGTTTATTTTTCCTGCAAGCGTGGAGCCAGGTCCTCACACCAGTTAATCATTCACCCAGTGCTTCCCACACAGTCTACACTGAAGGGAGAAGATGCACGTGGGCTCTGTCAAGGAAACAACCTCTCTCCAAGCCACTGCCAAGAGCTCCCTGGGGTCACCCACACACGTGAGCGTGGCTGCTGACACCAGGCAGGCAGCCCGGGGTTCAAAGGCAGCAGGGCAGGGTGGGTTTTTCCTCCCAAACCGTGGAATGGCACCACCACCACCAAGACAACGCTCCCACCTGCTGTCATTTCACTTGCTTTCGCAATTAGGAACATGGAAAAAGGATTCAGAATACAGCTGCTCTGCCGTGTCCTGGCCACACTTCAAAGGCAGGCAGCTGTTTATGAGACACCTTCAGGGCTTTTCTCATGGTGGCTTCTCTTGGCTTGCCCGGCTCACAAACCCATGACCACCTTGCTCATGCTCCTGCTACCTGTGCAGCCCCACTGCCCTTTGGGATGTGCTCAGTGTCACCACACTGTGCAGCCCCACTGCCCTTTGGGATGTGCTCAGTGTCACCACACTGTGCAGCCCCACTGCCCTTTGGGATGTGCTCAGTGTCACCACACTGTGCAGCCCCACTGCCCTTTGGGATGTGCTCAGTGTCACCACACTGTGCAGCCCCACTGCCCTTTGGGATGTGCTCAGTGTCACCACACTGTGCAGCCCCACTGCCCTTTGGGATGTGCTCAGTGTCACCACACTGTGCAGCCCCACTGCCCTTTGGGATGTGCTCAGTGTCACCACACTGTGCAGCCCCACTGCCCTTTGGGATGTGCTCAGTGTCACCACACTGTGCAGCCAGAGGACCCGTCTGGGCAGAGACAGCACCAGCACCAGCCAGGTTTGCTGCCTGCAGGAGCTCTTCTGTCGCAGACCTGGACAAGCAGAAGGGATGATGCTTTGGAACTGCAGCTCCCAGAGCTTTCCTCACCCCAAAGCTCACCTGCCAAAGTACAAGATTGTCTCTGGTCTAATGGCTCCATCCAGGTGGACGTGAAGCTCAACCTGCAATAAGAAAAACGGGTCAGGTATTCTTAGAGCTGCAGCAAAAGTTCAGAGATAAGTAGCTGGCACTCACATGGGTATAAATGCAGCCAATACAGGGACAAAATCATGACAAGGAAGCACAGAAACATTTTTAAAATATAATCATTATAAAGTTTATTTTTCAACATCTAAATACTAAGTATTTTCTTATAGCTGCTGCAGCTCACACATTTAATGAGTCTTTAGAAAATTATTCTGTTTCCAGTAATTTTCAGGAACTGCCCTATCCTTTTTTAGCTTGCATGGCTCAGAGTTTGGGAAGAGTGAAAAAAGCAAACACCAAACACCTTTGCTTTCCAGCTTACTCCTCCTTGAAGTCACAGGCAGCCAAACACCAATTAATTTGCTAAGAGTCATTACAAAAACTTTGACTTCACTTCCAAGAATCAGCTCCTGATGGGTTGTTAATTACTTGGTATTATCAGAGCTTACAGGATCTCTAATCCTACACAAGAGGTCGGTCCCATGGTACAAGGTGCTGTAAAAAATAATAACAAGTTGTCCCACAGAGCTACCAAGCTGGTTTCAAAATAAAACACTAATTTTTTACTCATTAAAAATGGGACAGTAACTCAGGTCTTTTCACTGTGAACCCCTGTTTCCTGATTATTGCTGAAACACTGGATTTTTGAGAAAGAGCCCCAGAAAAACAAAGTAAGTTTTTTCCATTAGCCAGCTGGGGCTTTTGGAGGAACATGACAGATGTAATTTGGAAGTCAAACTGGGAAGGAAAATATTAGCTGTAAAATGTTTCAGCTAGACATTCATCTTTCCAGCATTGTTTTCTTTTAAGTAACAGCATAGCCTACAAAATGCATGTTTAATTTTATTTTTTTAATCAAGCTGTAGAGCAGCAACTTGATACCCAAAGTTGTTAGTTGTAACATCGTGCACATTCTACTGCATAGATGTTTGCTGTAGGGTAAGAATCGAGTAGGATTCCGAAGAGGACTGGATATTTACATGGATAATTAAACCACCCAGGGTTACTAATTAAAACCCACAAACCCTCTGGCATCAGGGTATGTATCAAACAATAACTACGAGGAGCTGGGAGGACAAACGAGTAAGCGGTCCCTGCCAGCAGGGCAAGGCAGGACTGCCCACCTCCCTTGGATCCTTTTGGATCCTCAGGAGCGTCCAAGAGCAGGTGATGTGAGCTCCTGGCACAGGGCTGGCAGTGCCCACGCACTGATGCCCACGAGCTCGCTCCCGTGCCCACCCTGCCCTGCAGCCCTGCCGTGCAGGCAGAGACCCCGACCCACGGCCAGGGCTGTCACCCACCACTGCTGCTGCACAGGGCCCTCACTGCTGGGCAGGGGCAGGGCTGGGGGCCAGCCCACCCCCACAGGACATGCCCCTCCACATGCACTGGTGCCAGGCTCAGGACAGCTCGAGCTGCTGATCCTGCACTGTTGCAATCAGCTGGCCCAGGGGGTCACGAACATGCCCACAGACACCACCGTTAGCAGGCTGTAAAAAGATATCCCTGTCACTTCCACCCTTAAGATACGATCTGAATCTACAGGGAGGAAGACTGGAAAAGGGAAAAACCTGCTTTTTCTCCCCATCTTGAGTTACACAATCCTGCTTATGAGGACTAAATGTCCTGCAGAGCAGCAGATAAAATAACACACCATGGACTGATCTGCATCGCCAGATGTGGACGCCTGGCATGCTTTCCACTCTTGAGCTCCAACTCCTATTTCAAAACCAGGCAAGCTCCATTCCTTGAGATATCCAACAGCCCTTGTGACAGCCCTTTCTGATGGATAAAACTTACAGGCTTGCTCACACTGGATTTAAAAACCAAGCAACCTGAACCTATTGAGGTCTTCTCACTCCAAACACTTCTCAAGTTTCCTGTAAGAACATCCCAATGTGACATTCCCATCAATGAGAATGCAGATTCTGTGGTGTCCTCTGTCCATGCAAGTCACCTCCTCCTGCCACTCCTGCAGGTGAGATGCTTGTAAAGCAGCAAGGTTCCTCTCCAACACCAGCAACAGGCTCTTCCTCCCCTGCCAGCATTTCTTTGGGTCTGGAGGGATCTAAACTAAGGCAGCTCAATGCTGTTCAACCCAAAAAGTTTTGGATTTCCCCAAGATCAGTGCTTCAGGGCGTCCTTTTCTGCAGCTGAGAAGCAATCTATGCTATTTAGATGGCCAAAGGACACTCAAGAGAAGATGGAAAGGTGTGCCTAAAAGGCTCTAGATAAGGATGCAATCAGCAGAGGCACAACCCAGCTGCTCATCTCCCCAGGGCGCCTTGCTGGCAAACCCCCAGGCTTCCAGGTCCGTGGGAGGCTGCTCGCTGCAGATTACATTTCAGCTCTCTTCCTGAGTGTTTGTTTTGGGTAAACAAAGCACAAGACTTTTCCAGACACAAGTGGGTGACATGACCTTGCCTGAAGCCAAGGAAAGCGCCCAGAGAGAGATGAAAGAGTTTTCTCTGAACTGTGGCTCCAGGAGATGATGCCTGAGCAAGCAGAAATAATGATGGATGCAGGAGCCCAGTGCCTTTTCCAGGGCTCTGCTCCTTGGCACACAGAGCTCCACGGGCACGTGGTCTCTCACCCCAAACCCTCTGGTTTATCTGGAGCAGAAGCTTGTGCACACAAATTAAATGGGGATCTCAACACTGGTCCAGGACCAGGGCTGCACCAGCACTGCAGAGGAGCCTCCAACTATTCCAGGACCACTGATCATAAAATCAGAGAAAGGTTTGGGTTGGAAAGGAACTTAAAGATCATTTAGCTCCAACCCCCCTGCCATGGGCAGGGTTGCCACCCACTCGACCAGGTCGATGCCTTCCCTTCTCACAGGATGTGGCAACACTTGTTCTGATGAAGAACAAGAAAGCAGCAGAGCTCTCCAACGCTTTCCTGGGGCAGAGCTTTGCTCTTCCCCCAGTTGCAGTGAGGACCCTCAGGACCAACTCTGTGCAGCCACACTTGTGTCCTTCTGCACCTCCACTGATCTCCAGCCAGCCCATCAAAAACCCAGAGTGCAACTCAATAAAACCTTTAGTTTCGCTAAAGAGTTGTTGAAAGCCAGAGAGGTGAGTTCAAAAGATGTAACTGGCTGTAAATTGTGCGTCCTCAGCACAGCCAGCCCCCAGCAAGGCCATCAGAGCAAACCCAGCGCTTTCCATTTTTATGCAAAAAAAGGTTTCAGCTCAACCAGGGCACGTGACTCACTGGTGCAGATATCAGCAAGTTGCTTCAGATTTTAAAAAGGAGAAGTTTTAAGGGCTCTGGCGTGACTTCTCTGGCGATATTGTAATGTTTTCTTTGAGACTTAATAAGCTTCAAAATAAATTCAAACACAAAATTAGGTACTCAAACAAGTATGTTCCATTCCAAGATCAAGTCTGATTATTTTCAATTTAGTGAAATTAGGAGGAAAAAGTTAACTAAACATTCAAAGTATTTTCAGCCACAGTAAACCCAATACAATTTCTCTATTAGAGTTTGCTCAGCAGACCATGGCAGAGCAGTTAACTGCTCAGTTTGCCTATTATATGGCATTAAAAGAGCCATCCAAGCTAAGGCACTTGAAGGATTTTCTGTATGAGGTAGTTCTAGGGTCTTTCTTAAAATACATAGAATGACCAAAGTCAGTCCTAACACCACAGTAAAATTAACACCAACTGCAGCTGGTAAAGTGGCATCATTTTAAAACCCTAAACAGTGATTTTGCCCAGGATTACTTATCAGGCCATTAAAAGCTGATAATTTAAATTCATTCTATTAATCTCAATAGCTGAAAAACAGGGTAATTATAGCTGTAATTTGTCAATTATTAGATAAGTGTGGCAGGCAAATATTAATGGAGAACAAAGCTGAACAAGAGATAAGACAAATGCCAATCACTGCGAAAAAGAATGAACTGTGTTTCCCAAATACTGGTTTTATGGAAGTGTGCTGTCAGGAGCAAAGTTATCCTCATCCTAAGCTCACCACAAACACTCATTCAGGAGCAAGAGGTGCGAGTGGCTCAAGAGGGATGTGAAGTGGAAGGGGCACAGTATTGTCCTCAAACCTGGCAACACCCACAAATGCACCTGGGAGATGAATCTGCCACATGCTTTAAGGCTTGAGTCTTTGAAAGAGAAACATGGGAGACTTGCAAGACCCACAGGACACACTGCTGGGCTGCAAAGCACATCCATGCTTTCCAGACAAGCACTGACATGGTACACGGGTTTGGTGGCTGAGGAAGAGGAGGTTACTCCTGTGCTGGGAAGCCTTTGGTACCATCCTCCCAACACCAACTTCTCAACCTTCACTGATCTCAGTACAAGACTCGTGGTGATGTTAACAGGTGATGGTGGCTGTGTGTCATCACAGGTGACATCCCATGGGGTGACAGGGCCATGTCCTTGCCAACCCACCACGGGTCTCACACCCACCCCTGGCTGGAGCAATAAACAGAGCCCCTGCACTCTGTGCAGCACCAAGCCAACCTCTCACTGCCATCACGGCTGACAAGTGGATGCAGGAAGTTTATCCAAGAGCATCCCTGTATCCCCTTATTGAAGGACTGAGCACACAAGGTACCACTGTGTAAGGTATGGCTGAGCTCAATGCAGCCTCAGCAGCACCAAGAGTCAGGGATCAGGCTGTACTCAAGAAGTGGTTTAGCCAAAGACAACATCACCCTGAACACACTGTTGTGCATTTGCAGTCCCCCCAGTAAGGATCACCTTTGTAAGTTTAATTTGTTTTTAATTTTTAGCTTTGAAGTTTTGCTCCCAAGGCAAATCCCTGTACTATCAGCTCAGCACAGAGGCTGCAGTGTTACAAGGAGCAGGGGAGGAGACCCAAACTCCCTGGGCACAGCCAGCGCGGGCACCTTTAGTGCCATCTCCTCAGTGCTGATGGGACACTCACAGCTCCAGCCAGCTCTGGCCCCCTCTCCCAGCTCCTGGGTACGAAGGTTGTGTTGGAGACAACTGCCTCCCTTCGGATAGGGACAGGCCCCAAAGCACCATGACACGCACAGTGTGTCTCGCAGGAACACCTGCCCAGTGTGACCCGATGCCCATGTTCCAAACCAGCATCCAGCAGCAGAGCTTGACCCCAGAAACTCCTGTTCCCACAACACAGCTCAAGACATATGGGAGCTGCAGGAGAAGAGAGCCATGGGTCCTGAAGCCCTCGAGCTGGGGCTGGCCTGAAGGGAGAGGAGCCAGCAGCAAGCAAGGACAGGGTCTCTGCTCTGGTTGTGCAGCAGAACGGGGGGAGCCTGATGGTTGGTGTCAAAGGAATGTCAGTCTGTTCTGCTCTTTTATGGCCTATGATAAGCAGGGTTCAAAGTTGTCCCCCAGCAGCCCCGGAAGCTCCCTGTTCATCCACCTCAGTCACTGGGAGTCAGAGAGCTCCTGAAAAACACAGAGGCAGCCCCGGCCCCAGGTTCAGCCGGGGCTCGAAGCCGCTCCAGTCACCAGAAACATCTCTAAAACACAAAACTGATCGTTCCCAATGGCAGAGGGTCCAGGGGAATGAATAGGGCTCATTAACTGACTTCAGGCCCATTTTTTTTCCCCAAGCCTGACTTAGCAGGTTCACAGGACTGAAAGGGACTGCCTGACTCAGGAAAACCAGTCTCATAATTACCAGCAGCCAGGCAACAGAAGCCTGATCTTAGCAGTCAAACCCTGCAGATTTTCCTAGGTCTTTCTCTTTGGCATTCCACTCTCCCACGCACTGGAAAAGTAGGAAGAATCACAAGTGAAAGAAGAACTTAAGTTGCTTCTCTAGTCTGAAAGTTTAAAATCACTCGGGTGAAACAACAGCCTTTGTTCTCAGTGGACCTGATGAAAGGCCACCATCTCCCAAAACTGAAGCAGCCTTAAAAAGGCTTTAACCATTAGCAGCTGTCAGCACTCCCTGGATTTTGGTATCAAGGTTTGCCTGCTACTGCATGAATCAACTTCCCTGAGAGAGAAGATTGTGATGGAGCGAAACATGAATCAGACCTGTGCACACAGACCTTTCCAACTATGCAAGACTTTCCTGGTGAAAACTCAAACTGAGAGATAAATGGTTTGGGAGTGGTAGGGGATGCAAACAGCAGCAGAAAAACCCAACTCTGTTGGGTTTTCAGAGACAATCTTCTTTGGGAAAGCCACACAGTGTTGCCACCACTCAGGTTCTCCCACAGCAGGACCACCACAAGCCTCACATCACTTTTCTTGGTCTCCTCTGCCCTGACCCCTCACTTACCACCAGGAGCCCAACGTGGCAGCCAGGCAGAGGAGACCTGCTCCCTGTACAGCAGCTTACTGGGACCACAGCCTGAGAGCAGAACCATCCTGCAGTGATCTACCATCAGATACAGAACTACTGCTAACCACAGCTGTTTCATCTTCTTCCTCCTCAACTGTTTTCTAATCTGAATAATAAACATTACCACATGATCCTACTTGAGATGCACCTATACAAGGCATGGCAAGAGCGAAAGGCTGGAGCACCCTCTGACAGCAGCCACCAAGGTCGTGTCACGGGCACCTGAGGCAAAACTGAACTAAATGTTTGAGAAACAAAAAAAAACAAAACAAAACAAAAGACAAACTGAACTAAATGTTTAAGAGACAAAAAAGCCAAACCAAAACAAAACACAAAACTACCAAAACAAAACCACCCAAAAACCAAAAAAAACCCCGGAACAAAATGAAAAAGCCAAGAGAAAACATTTAGTTTAGTAGACCACGGCAGGGGTTGGGGGGGCACTTGGTGTGTTCAGCTGGAGAAGAAGAGACTGAGGGGAGACCTCACTGCAGTTACAACTTCCTCGGGAGGGGAAGAGGAGGGGCAGGCCCTGAGCTCTGCTCTGGGGGGACCAGGGACAGGACCCCAGGGAATGGTTGGAGCTGTGTCAGGGCAGGGTCAGGCTGGATCTCAGGAAAAGGTTCTTCCTCCAGAGGGTGTTTGGGCACTGACCAGGCTCCCCAGGGCAGTGGGCACAGCACCAAGGCTGCCAGAGCTCAGGCAGCGTTTGGATGATCCTCTGGGGCGCAGGGTGTGACTCCCGGGGATGGTCCTGTGCAGGGACTCAACAGCTGGACTCAACAACCCTTTTGGGTCCCTTCCATCTCGGCACGTCCTGCGACTCTTCAGGGCTTATCCCCTCCCGCCCGGCCCCATCCCACTTGCACATCCCGAGCACCGGCAGAGCCGGGATGGAGCCCTGGACACCCGCGCACCGCTCCGGGGATGTGCGGGGGGAACCCCACGGCAGCGCCCGCGGACCGCCGGGTGACACCGCCGGGCAAATCCCCGCCCATCAGCCGCCGCGTCCCGGCCGTGCCCCAATTCCCACGCGGCTGCAGCACCCCGGGGCACAGCAACTCAGCCCCCCCCGGGACACAGCACCTCTGCCCACGGGGCACGTCCGTGCCCCGTGGGCAGAGGTGCTGTGCCCCGGGGGGGCTGAGCCGCCGCGCCCTGGAGCATTCACCCCTTTCCCAAACCCCGCTGCTCCCGGTGCGTGCCCATTCCCAGCCCTGCCTACAGCTCACCTTGGGTCCCCCGAAGACTCCCGGTGCCCGCTCCATGATCCCGCTGCCGCTCCCGCTGCCGTTCCGTGCCCGCCGCCGCTCCCGCTCCGCCGCCCCCGCCCCGCCGGCCGCGCTCGCCCGGCCCCCGCCGTGCCCCGCCCCGCAAAGCCCGGGGGCAGGCACGGGGCGATGGCATCGGACCCTTAAAGATCATCCCCTTCCACACACACCCCCCCCTCTGCGCTGGTGGAAGGGAACACTTAACCTTCCCGCTTGGGTTGCTCCAAGTCCCCGTCCAGCCTGGGCTCGGACGCTTCCCAGGGGTGCGTGGGGGGCATCTTTTGGGCAGCCCCGGTGCCTCGCCGCGCTCGCAGGGGAGAATTCGTGGAGTCGTAGAATCACAGCATCAGCCAGCTTGGAAAAGGTCTCCGAGGTCATCGAGTCCAACCCTTGATCCAAAACTGCCGTGCCACATCCAGTCTCATCTTAAAAACCTCCAGGGAGGGTGTGAATCCGCCCCCTCCCCGGGCAGCCCGTTCCAATGTCTGATTGCTCTCTCTGTAAAAAATTTTCCTTCCTAATATCCAACCTAAACCTCCCCTGGCGGAGCTTAAGACCGTAATTTCTCTCTAACGTTTAATCAAAACCCACCCTTCCTGAAGTCCCACTGATGTTTCCTTCAGGAGCTGAGAGCCCGAGCAGAGCTGCTCCTCTAACAATAACACTGACAGAAATTAGAACAGGATAGAACGACAGCTCAGTGTGTAGAACCCAAATGCAATCTCCAGCTTTGATTGCAGCCTTAACCCAATTCAACAATATTTGTTTTAACCTTTCCTGCTCTCAGACCTGCTGCTCTGTGACTCAGTTGTTTTGTCCCGTGGCTCTCAGTCCATCCTACACCTGCTTTCAGTTCCTGCAAACTCGCGCTCAGCTTTTCATTTCTTATTTTTAGTGACCTGGCCATGTTTTACACTGCTCCTCTGCCTCCTGCCCTCCTCTCCCATAGGCTGATGCACATGGCAGCCCAGTCACTGAGGACAGTGAGCCAGAAAGCCACAGAATTACAGAATGGTGGAACCACTTCCTAGACTAAGCCTTGAGGAACATCCCTTGGGCCCTTCTGCAGCCCCGAGTGAGATGAGACCCAAGCTCCCTGGAAGGTGCTGAGCAGGCAGGTGATATTTCCAAAATCTCTGCAGAGACAAGGAGCACAGTTCTGTTCTGTATGTCTGGAGTTCAGCTGCCCAGGTGAGGCCATCCCCAGACCACAGGCTAGGTCTGAAGAGAGTCCTAGAGATGAAAATCACTATATCAATGAAAAATACTATTATTACTTGCTCTGGTGCGTAAGCAGAGAAAGCACTTGGGGTTGTAGGCAGGAACACTACCACAAATGGCTGCAAAATAAAGTTCCCTCTTCTCCTTCCCCAGCTGTGTTTACTCCAGAGGGACATTGTTTGTGGAAGATGGCAGCAGGGGATTAGCTATGCTGGAGCCTTGCTTTTGGGGATGGGGAAGGCTGGGGGCTCCTCCAGCCCTGTGCTGTCACACTGCCACCCAGCCAGGTGACATCAAACAGCCCAAGGGAGCAAACAGCCCTGAAAGCAGGGGCTGCAACCTGTGCTGGCACTGCTCAGTGAATGTAGGACATGCTACAGGCTCACTGCTCCACTGGGGAATGTCACCAGCCTCCCTTGTCACCAGCCTTTGCCATGAGAGCAGTGATGGAATTTCTGCCCCAAAGCCAAGTAGGCATTGAGAAAACAGTAGTTTTTCAGCTTAAATCCCAAGGTCATTTGGGTATGTGCACTGCAGCAGAGCCTGTGGGAAAAGCCCAGGGCTTGGCTGGGGAGGAAGGTTCATCAACATGTTCTCTTTTATTAAGTACCACCTTTCAGGGATGCCCTGACTGCATCCATACGGGACAGACAAAGCTCATTAACCACAGCTAAGTGGCAAAAATATTCTTTAGAAAATAGTGACTGGCAGGGGAAAGCAAGTGTTAGCTGCCAAGCACCGCTCAGGGCTTCCAGGAACCTGTGGGATGGAGCAGCAGAAATAAGCAGCAGGTATTCTCTGCACTAAAATTTGTGACTTCCAAAAGGGGAAAACATTCCAAGCTACTTTGAAAGCACTGAATTTGGTTAAAAGCCTCCTGGGTGTGCACAAAATGGTCCAGTCTGCAAATTAGCAACTGTTTGTGAAACTGCTTCTGGGCGAGGTGGGCTCTGGCTCACATGGACCATTTTACTTCCACATCACAGGCTTTCTTTAGCAGCCACCTGAAAAATATCTATTTTGCCTGGATAATGATTCACAGCATCACATATTTGAGGTCTGACTTCCACAACAGGGATGGTCCCAGTGTGAACAGACAGTGCTTTCTAATAGTCTTTTGTGGGCACAGCCCTGCTCAATGTGTCATGTACACTGGGAGGACAGAGGTCAATTAGAGCATTTATTTGAGATTAGAGGAAATTGCAGGGTAAAAAAAAAATAGCATGTGGGTAATTATCTGCTGGGAGGAGCGTTGATAGCAAAGGTCAGAAAGAGGCAAATGGGGCTGAACTGGCCCCATCGACTGGGAATGGTGCAGTAAGGGGTTTTTTGATGTTTTTTTTCCTGCTTAGCAAATACATGTGTGCTGCAGACTCAGCTCTTTCCAGGAGTGTCAGCACAGTGCATTCATTGCACACAAGTGTGTTGCAGAGCCTTAGAAATACGGATTGGGTTGATTTTAATTGACCTGACCCTGATCCACTTTATCCATCTTTACCACTGGCTTAATCGGGTGGTTGCAATAGCTGCTGTGCTCTTGGTATTAAATCAATGTTTCCCTTTGAGAACACCACATCTCCCTGCAGCCAGGAGGCTCAAGAAGAACAAGTCTGTTATTTAATGGTGACTTCCCACCTGGGAAATCAGAGGGGCACAAACAGGGACCTGTCTGGCCAAACACAAGGCAGCACATGGGGATGCTCTGGGACCATCCTGGGGGAAAGCAACTGCTCATCTGCACAGCCTGCCATGGCTCTGGTCTCTGATTGTTTATCTTTTGTATTTTTGGGAAAATTCCAGGCAGCAAAGTAGGGGTAAAACTGATCTTGGAAGCTATTCCAATGCTTATTTCCCAGGAGCTATATTTAAACCTGTTCCCTTTCTCTTGCCCCCACAAGTTAATACCAGCTGTGTGTCAGGGTTGCTGACACCTGCAAACAGCTTTCCAAAAATACTAAAAAGTGTGCTTATGTTGGGCTTAGATCTTAAAAAACACCCTTTTCTATTTTGGTTGGGGTGGAGGTTTTTTGTTGTTTTGTTTTGTTTTACCAGATACCAAAGAGTGTCACATGACAGCCCATTCTAAGTGGCTAATGGAGGAAAAAGTGTTTATATTAATTAATTCTACCAGTAAGATAGTATAAATGCCACTGACATGTATAAATGTCACATACTGCTAAACTGGTCGATTTTGCAGGAGGAGACATTCTCAGCCCAAACATCCATTGCTTCTGCAAAATTTTTGTTTTTGAGACAAAGCCCTAACTTAACTCAGCAATTCTCATTTAACTTCTGCAGCTTCTCTGCAGGGCAGGGAAAACCTCTGCCCTGGGGCAAGCCACCACTGGAGTCACTGGTGGGAACTCAGCTGTGACCCATTTGGTCCCTGCTGGGGATCACGGGATCCTGTGGTCAATGGGAAGGGCAAAAACCCTGCTGAGGATCCACCCCGCTCCCCAAAGGGACTTCATTTCCCCTCTGCTCTCAAGGAAGCTGGAAACAGACCCAACACTGGCCTCCAAAAGCTGAAGCGGGTCCTGCATCACGTCCCGGTCCCAGACAGACTTTCTCCCAGCTCTCCACCAGCAGGGAGCAGGTGACAGGCTTTTCCCAAGGACATTTGTGTGACTGCAGGGCCAAAAGCATCAGGATAAACACAGAGGGCCCACCGAGAAGCTCCTTGGAGGGCTGATGATTACCTGGGTACACCCAAGGGATGTCACTGGGCAGACCCTTCTGGGGGGCTCCTGCCTGGCACTGCTTGTGAGGAAACCACAACCTTCACACCACTAAAACAACACCAGCCTGAAAACAGAAAGAACCTCCACAGCAGAACCCCCCTGAGTCATACCCCAGGGCACAGATGAGGCTACCCTGTAAACAGGTTGCATTTTCCCATTTTGGGGCATTTTTGAGCGGCACAGAAATGCACCCCCAGCTGATGACATGCCCAGCATGGGCACATCCCAGGATGCAGCCACTGGGAAAGCCACGTGGGCTGCTGCAAGCCTGCCGTGCTGATCCCCTAACCCGATTAGGGCTGTAACATGGAGGGCCAATTTTCACCCTGCATCAGGCCACACTTACGTATTTCAACTTATTCTGAACATCTCCTGGACCAAGAAGGCTGTCTGATATGAGCTGTAGGGAAATTGGGCTGCTCCAGAGCCCACAGGACATCAGTATAGCACATCTCTGAAAGTGATAAAGCAGAGAAACACAGTGTCACTGCTTTGGGCTGTGGGAAAGAGCAGAGGTCTGGATCTCGCAGCATTACAGACTAGGAAATGCCTCCAAGACCCACCCTGGAAGCTGTGGGATATCTAAGGATACAGGCAGCCCCTCTCTCACCCAGCTCTTTGGGTCACAGGATGGACCTGGTGTCCCCAGGTGACAGGAGCACACAGTCCCTGCAGCACAGGGCAGCGGGAGCACCACCCTGCCCTGCACCCCACCTGCCTTGTCAGCTTGTTTCACTGTTAAAATCCAGCGTTGAAGTTCAAGACCAAGGGTGGCATCACCACAAATGGAAGCAGGATTCACCTTACCTTGCTCAGCTCCTCCTGGGCCCCTGGACTCTGGCTGCCCTTTGATTTCTCTTGTGGGTAAAGAGAAGGAGCCAACTCTGTCCTGTGGAAAGATGTGGCCCTGTCAAGAGGAGCTGGGAGAAATCTGAATCAGCCACGGCAGTTAAGACAGAAACCTCGCCAGGATGTGACTTCTGCCTGGGACAGGCCAACATCATGATGTGCCAAGATCAACCTGAGGAGACCAGGAGATGAGGGTGGGTGAGTGGGTTCAAGCCTGTGTCCCTG